TGAATGTGACCTCCGCCTCTGCAAAAACACAGTGAAGATTAGCACTGTATTATTTATTGGAGGGTCCTGAGGCTGGATCAGTCTTGGCTTGTTTTCTTCACTGTAGACCTGAAGTGATTGTTCCTCATTCTTTTGATATCCAAATAGGTCACATTCATTAATCACAACAAGGGGAAAAAAAAAAATCAATGAAGCCATGCTCTCTGTGTGAGAGGTAGTATATTAGAATGGCACTGGCAAATTTACAGCACAAAATATATATGGCAGAATATATATAGCAAATAATTTTTGCTTCCTTGTTATACCTGACATTTCCAAGGCTTACCTATTTCTTCCTTCAGCAAAGTGGTTTTATTAATGTTTTCAGGTTTAACCTGGACGTTGCAAAGTCACATTTAAATGTTGTTGAGATGTTCTTTTTGCTTTACAGAAACTGGCTTACATTTGTACATGCCTTGAAGTGGAATAAATGGGACTTCTATTATAAAACCTAATGTCAGATTGACTGCATCTAGAAAATAACAGTTTTTAAAGGTCACATAAAATAGGCCACACTCAGCCCTTTTATTTTTCCTGGATATGTTCGATTAAAACTAGCTTTTGTTTATTAAATCACCAAGTTTTTTCCTCCAGGGTCAGCTTACGCAAATGCAGATCCTTACATTTGTCATCAGCTTAATGTCATTAATACAACTAGATTAAATAGTGCTATATACCTTTCCCCACTTCTGAATTATCAACTCTGAATTATTTATAATAAAATTAACTATATACATCATGAGTCAGTAGCGTGTAAAATGTTACCCTGTAGGCATAGCTAGACATTTCAATCGATAGACACTTGCATCTACTTTTGCAGATATCCTTTCAGGGTAGAGTGTACTAATCCACAACTCCCAAAGAAATTTGCTTTAGTAGAAATTAGGTCATACCTATAGTGTCCCAAATGATATTTATAGAAATGTCTTCTAAAATCAATTTGTAGAATATGGCTAAACAATCATGCATGTCTTTCATTGGTTAGGCAGGTTGAGAAAAGGATGCTCAAAAAAGAGGCTTTCAGTTTTCCACCTTCTGTATTTTTTTATTTCTTGGGGCCTTTATTACCACCACTATCTTAGCAGTGAAAATTTAGCTCAGGTAGGAAACTTTGGATCCTACAATTTATAAACCCTTTCTAGCTGGTGCAATAAGGGATAACCCCAATGATTTTAAACTGACACAGAAAATTAAGCAAAAATGCATTGCAGTTTTTATTAATTACTGCTATTTTTTTGCCTATGATCTACCCTGAAGTTCTATTGCTTTACTTCATACTACTTTCAGTATGATCTCAAGAATCATGGTACAAACGCAACTATTTCTGTCTTTCTACAGTGAGTATTTAATATTTCAGGCTCCATATAGCTTCCTTTTAGTTTGAGTGTCGTTTCATATTGCCTGAGGCATGATGCAAATCATAAATTGAGGATTAAGCCTGAGTTAGCTTTATGATTCTAAGCACCCCTAGTACCTCTTAGAGGTTGCAAAGAAGAGGTATCTGAATAAACCCAGGTTTTCTTTTATTTTCTTTCTTGAAGTAAAATCATTTAAAAATGAAAGATTTTTAAAAGCATTTTATATTAAACGAGCGTAGAAATCAAGCTTAACTAAAAATTACAAATGAACAAATATTAAATCTAAATATCAGAAGGCAGAAGAGGCAACCTAGTGTATTTCATGACAGCAATTCAACAGATTTTGTGTTCATTTTAGTTAGTAAATTAATATTGCATATATAGTTTATCTCAGCCTGTGGGAAACTGAGAAACCATGAGAAACTGTGGGAAGCTGTGGGAACGGTGAAAGTTAGGAGTGAGAAACTGTGAAAGTTAGGAATAACAGATTAGCAGATAGAGAAACCTAAAACACAGGCTGGATGCACCAATCTCTGGTTGTTTACCTGTTGTTCGTTAGCAGGATTGGACCCAGATAGCAATAGTCAAGGAATTGGCCGGAGGCAGGGGGAGGGAGCGTGTGGACAGTGTATGCTCACCTACTCGGAACATATCTAAGTTTGGTCTTAAGCCCCTGCTCCTTTCGATGACTCCCACAACAGCCCTCAAGTGTTATTAAGCAAGTGGGCTGGCAAGACTGGAATAGTTTTTCTGTCTCAGGCTCAAATAGCAGAACCACTTTAAAGTCTACACTGCAATATAAACGTGAGGAAGGAATAGTCTGCTTCCTGCTTCACATAGAGGAGTAAAAAGTGTCATTAATAAAATGCGAGCAAAAACTGATATAAAACATGTGAGCAATATTTTGTCAAAACATTCAAAACTGCAAATCTGTGGTTTCAGACATTATCAGAGGCATTATAAGTTTTTTTAAGCCAATTTTTGAAATTTCCAAGATATTGAGAAAAGAGTATAAAAATAAGAGTGGAAGACATTATGTGACTTTTCAGAAATAAATTCATAAATCAGAATTTATTATTAAACAGTATTTTGAAGTGTATGGAAACCAAAAATGGAAACATTATTCTAATGAAGAAAAAACAAATGCATGATACTAATGAAAACTATCAAGTCTAATTGACATGAAATTGAGTAGTAAATAAAATGAAGAGATGGCTATTAAATATTTTCTATTATTTGAAATAATAATGTGGAAAGAGTTAGTTCTCAAGGGAACCTTATTTTTTCTCAGTTGCAGTGATATCATGTAACTCTAGTTGGATATCTTGGTGGAAAAACTGAATATTTCGGTATGGAGTAAGAAATCTAAATAAAATGGCCACAATTTCAAATCTGTCATATCTGCAACTTCTGCTGACTTGCGTAGAGTTTCTGGATGGTGAGCATTTAATGAAAACCAGGCTATCTACCTATGTTTTGGCACCTGAGTAATGAGTTTAAGACGCTAACTTTCAGCACATGCAGCTGTTTGATTTTTTGATTTTTTTATTTTTTTTATGAGTATTATCTTGCTAAGGTGTCTCTTCAAACAAAGAGGTTTGTCTTAAATGCGTAGGACACCTGTACTGTGAAATGAGGATATCTGCATCGATTTGTGATCTGCTCAAATTTCTTCCTGACCTACTGGTTGCCTATTAGCAAGTCACTACTTGTTGAAATGAGTGGTATCAGCCTCTTGAATTTCGATGTTCCAATGATCTAAATTATAAGTTATAATAAGGATTAATTCATTAATGTAGGCACTGTAATTTATTATTTCAAAATTATAAAACAAAAATGCTGTAAAAATATGACTTCTTCTGCCCCTTTGTTTGAATGTTATAATAGATCTTTCAGAAATGGAAAAACAAAATACTGGACATACAACATATGACTTTAGTCCATGGGGGATGTTTGGGTATTAGTTTAAAAAAAAACCTCTCCCCCTCCAAACCTAAAGATGTCAATATGATACTGTAAGCAAATATTTTTGTTCACTTACAGTGTATGTTTTGGTCATTTAAATGTGTGTGTGTGTTTTTTTTTTTTTTTTTTAAACCAAGCCCATATTTCCATGGCAAATTCCTTTTAAAAAAAAAAAAAAACCAAATTTTTATTTACTGGAAAAATATTTGAATATGCAGAGCTGTTTAAAAAGATTTTTCTATATTTACTTAAGATTTGCCCTGTGAAATAGTTTTCTTTAATACACATTTATCAGTTATTATAATAAAGTATACATATATTAGACTACACAAAAAATGAACAATAAAACACTGCAGTTAAAATTAATGGATGCTATTGCTGAAGTCCTGATATAATATTACCATGTTAAGAAAGACAAATAATAACCTGGAATATGTTTATGCATTTTTAATAATTCTTACTGATGCAAATGTAGATGCTACTCACTTGGAAGTAAACAAACACAATTATTCAGTCATGCTAAGCCCAAAATCAACAGCAGACCTCTTTGATTCAGCAAGGTCCTTTAATCTGAGCACAGTGCTCCAGCTATTTGGGTTGAATTTGAAGATGTGAGTTTTGCAATTCAGACCTTCTATTTAATTTGAATCTATGCCACAAATGGGCTCCATTCCAGTGAAAAATCCACAGAATAATCATTTTTGTGCAGCTGTGATTGCAGTATATATGCACAATATAAGCCTATATATAAACCTAAACTTATAGTTACAGAAGCAGGATCGGGTTTCAGGAATTCTATATCTATGAAAGCCCTGTTTTGTGGACTTTGAGACATTTCACAGAAACAGATTTTCATGTGCTTAGCAGAAATGCATACGTGCATATTTTCAGCAAATTTCTGTTTCTAAGTAGCCTAAGTAGATAAAGGAGTGAAGATGTTAGTGCTTAGCATTGCTCTGATCATCATATTTGTGATTCATCAAAAAACCCCAAAACTCAAAATCTGAGTATCCAATTCAGTGAATTATTCTGAAAATCTGATTTCTTACACTATAGCCTAATGAGAAGCTTGAGACAGTATGAAACTGAGAGGGATTTGATTTTTATCCAGCCACATTGTATAGATGTAATAATTTGGTTTTCTGAAGCAACAGGAAATTCTTCTTGAAGTTGTGATCTCTGTTTAAAATATGTATAAACTCTGTCTAATCTTGACTTTTCAGGGAGATATTCTAGTGGAAATCCTATTTTCACTGACAACATTTCCGTTACGTCCTGTTATCAGGACTGTCTGCACTTGTGAGTCCAGCAAGTTGTGAAAGTTGCTTCCTTTGAAAGAAGAAAGAAGTTTGAAAGAAGGCTCTAAGTACTTTATATGGTGAATTCTGATGCAAAATAAGCATTTTTCAGGCACCTCAATAACTATTACATGCACCAAATAGTTGGTTTTATCAGCATGGCTCTGTGCACAACTTAGTGTGCTCAAATTTATGAACCTTACTGAGAGATCTGTGCTGTTTTAGAACTTCAGCACAGTACTTATTTTTTCTTTAACCTACCTGGATGACAAGTAAATGGTTTGTGCTTCTGTTTTCTACATGTTTCATCATGTAAATAATCTAACATTTTTGTCTACAGATATTCCACATGACATATGACCTGGCCAGTGCTGTAGTGAGAATCTTTAATCTCATTGGAATGATGTTGCTGCTTTGCCACTGGGATGGTTGTCTTCAGTTTTTAGTACCATTACTCCAGGATTTCCCACCAGATTGCTGGGTGTCCCTAAATGGTATGGTTGTAAGTATTGTTCATTTTTCATTGTGCTTTTTAAACATTACTTTTCTAAACAGTTAGCTTCAGATTTAAGTGTAACAATGCATATTTAGTAACACACTTTATACAATTTATTCAAGCTTGCTTTTTGTTTTGTTAGTTGGCTTGCTAATAAGCTAATATTTGTTTTGTAGCCCTCATCACCAATAATGTTATATCGAATCATTCTTAGTAAATGTAACAAATACTTTCAGTTTTCAGATCATTTTACTTTTTTAATCCTCATTCCCTCAAAAAAACCACAAAAATGTAATTTGGGATAAGTTGACTAGCACTGTCAATTATGGTTATAGTTTCAAAATACTCGTGAAATCATATTATCTAACTTATTTCATCTAATTTTGTCTTCTGTTTTGTCAAGTAAGTTCTGAATCATCTCATGAAACCCTTTACCAAGTTTTTGTAAGTAAGTAAGCTGTGGGAATTAGTTTTACTTCTGTTATATTTTTGTCTGTATGAACAGACAGTTCAAGGGCAGAATGCTGCCTTCTGGACATGCCTTATTCATACCAAAGGTTAACAGTATTGGGCTTGTTTTACATGTGCCTTAGAGACCAATGACTGTGAAGAATTAGTTATAAATCAGACTATGTATGAGGTAAAACATAAAACATTATAGTAGGAAGTATGCTGAGAAAGTTGTTGAAATGTACCTATGCCCCCCCCCGCCCCCAAAATCTAACCAAACCAAACAACTCTCTAATATTTCAGACACATTCATTAGAGGACCTTAGCTGCTTCCAAATTAAAATTCAAGAATATTAGAGAAACTGATAAAAAAGCCAAACATAGAAATGAGTCAAAGCACCTGAAAAATGTTTCCAGTTTTTACAATTTTAGAATGCATGAAATGGTAACTTTACTCCTGTCATAAGTAGATAGGCAGTTTGCTCAGTTCTGTGTATAGTTGTTGTAGAAACATATTTGTTCCTTTTGGAATCTGATACTGTGCATCACTGTGGGAGCTCGATGGCTAAGAATGTCAGTCATACAGACAAGTATTTGCAGTCGTCAAGCAACATCTTTAATGATAAGCAGCATGTTTGCTGACACCTCGTTGTGCAGCTATCCCCCAAAATATAGTGACATATCTTCGAAAATGGAATTGCTATACAAAAGTAGGTCACCAGGATGCTGACTGGCATGTCTTTGCGTTTTGGTGCATTCTGGATTCTGCTTTGTAATATCTTTCATTCACAGTTAGAAAGGGTACATTTTCTGCCAGGCTGCCAAAGATCTGGATGATAGTCATGCTAAAGAGTAAGAGGAAATAAGCCTTGTATTACACTTAGTTGAAATATTTAACCTTTACAGAACATTTATCTATTAAATTGTCTCTGTACCATAAAAAGAGTTACATTTAGTCTAAGAAGGCAGTGCACATTCACATGGAGACCCCTCTTTCTGCCTGCTTCTTTTTTATGGAAACAATACTCTTTCCTAACTGGCCACATGCTGTTGAGTACACATTTTTTTTTCTATGGCAGCTGAATCTGTTGCTAATAACAAATATTACAAGGCCATCTGAAAATTGAGCAAGATTATTTTCACAGCGTATGCAGTCTTCTAGTCATATGGCAAGAGAAAGGGTTACAGCCTGACAGTCTGGAATCAGCAGTATATCTAAGGCCACTGTTGGGGAAAACAATTGGACTTTTCTTCTGACTTCATTAAAATGTTAGGAGACATTTCCTCTTTATTTTCCAGCCTCTGGAAGTGAAGTCTTCAGAACTGAATACAGCCAAAGAAACAATTAATGAATATCAGTCCTCTGAAATCATAGAGGGAATAGAAGGAAGTTGTTGTTGTTGTTATTGTTAAATTATCATTATTGTATGCTATGCTAGTGCATTCAGAGTCCTGCTAACTTCAGCTTTTGGAATTTGGAAAGGTATCACATTCTGATTGCAAATACTTTAGGAAATGGGGTATCATACTCCCATGGTGTGCTGTAGCCTCCAACAATTTAATCTGGTCAGTATTTAAACACTTTTCTCACTAAAATGACTGCATTTAAAACTGGAGTTTGGACTGAAATGCTGTTGACATAGAAGTCAGATAAGGTATCTCGTTATTTCTTCTGACCCGGAGGTCTTTATCTGTGAACTGGTGATGACGGTCACCAAAGGGACATCTTGTGTCAGAAAGAAGAAATATGTGTAACTCTAGCTAATGTACCCTTCTATCAAGGTATACCCTTCTATGCATAAATTTTTCTCAGAGATTTTAGTAGTTTACTAAATAAAGGTAATCCTTGCATCTAAGTACATTTGGACTTTGGTTCAACTGTCTCTTCCAGTAATGATGTAGGATTACTCTGAGAAAGGTCAAAATGAACCCTCTTGGTGTTTTTTTCTTTCTTAGAGTGATGGAGGTTTTGTGGGTACATTCTCAGGGATTTACAATGTGAGTCCAGTGTATGCTGCTCTGAAAAACATCATTGCCATGGCTGATCTCAGGATAATACACTAGCCTTGCTTAGAAATAAGATTTAATTGGTTAATTAAAGCACTGACTTAAAGTCTCTTTTAAACCTGTATGGGCTCAGCCAGAAAAAGTTATTGTTTGATATGGAACAGGACAGTGTTTGATTGCAAGCTAGAGCTTTTGCAGTTAACTTGATGGCAAAGGAAATAAGGATGTCATGAGGATGACATGCTGTCTCTTAAATCCAAAAAGCACAATGTACTCGTCCTGCCCTAGCTGCCTCCTGTGCTCCTTGCACATTAGCTGCTTTCAGCCTGCACAGTGCAAGAACTTCTCCTAAAAGCCTCTGCCTGAAAGCTGTTTCTTCTGTAGGAGCTTCATATTCCATAGACGTAATCAGATTTTATTTTTGAAAGCACTGTTAAGAAAAATAACATAGGTTAAATGGAGAGCCTAAGAAATTTAACTTCAGCAACCATTAGGGTAATGAAATCAAGCTGCATTTTTCTTACCGCCTTTCATAGAATCATAGAATGCTTAAGGTTGGAAGGGACCTCTAGAGGTCATCTAGTCCAACCCCCCTGCACACGCAGGGTCACCTAGAGCACGTGGCACAGGACTGCGTCCAAGCGGGTTTTGAAGATCTCCAGAGAAGGAGACTCCACAACCACTCTGGGCAGCCTGTTCCAGGGCTCTGTCACCCTCACTGTTAAGAAATTTTTCCTTAATTTTTCCTTTTTCCTTTCTGAACAACGAGACTGAATGCAATTAAAGAAAAACAAATAGATTGTTTTTTATCTTTGAAAGTGTGTTAAAAATGTCACAGTGGACTTAGAAAGAGACTATGAAATGAAATAGAAAGCCTCTTATGTGAAGGGAATATGACCACCATTGGCTAATACTGTACCAGTCTGCAGCCTAAGTCATATTAAAAAAAAGTTCAGATAGATAGCATTGAGATATTAACTTCAATGTAATAATGTGCCCAGCTTGTATTTGTACTCTGTAATGCAGTTCCCTTTTGCTTTGCTCTTGCCTTTTGAGACAAAGTCTCAAAGGTGTGTGCGATCTTGAAGTAACCATATTCAGAGACCCACAACTTCTCCGTTCCTGATTCTATTTGCTTGTGTAACTAGGAAAATAATTGTATGACTAAGAAAACAGACAAACCTTTAAGCAGACATTTACCTGAATTTTCCAATTTCCATATTTTTTGTATATAATGTTCAGAGAAAAATCTATCATGAAACTGTAGAATTTAATTGGGAGTATAGAATTTAAGTTGAAGGTAGAATTTTAAAAGCCAAAAGGGATTTTTGAAGAGAATGCCATGCTTTGCTGGCATTTCTCATGGCAGTCTGCCAATGTTTGCTCAGCAAGAACCCTTGAGGTATTCTGGTTTCTTCCTCACTGTCCTTGAGGTCAGATTGCTTCAGCTCTTGTATTGTTTTTAGGTTTTGGATTTGCTGGGAGGAGGGGTTGCATTATCTTAACTCCCCTGTGTATGCACATTTGTTCAGGGGCAAGGGAAGCCCAAAGTTTGACTTCATATCATTATCTCTGACAGTATCACCAATAAGAAGGATTTGGGAATTTCTGCTGCCAAGTCTGAAAGCCTTTACCTATTAAATGAAGACTTTAAGACTTGATAGGGAAATTCATAAACGCTGTTTACAGTGTGCTAAATTTAAGCTAACATATATATAGTATGCAACAAAATAATAACCATACACATAATTCTAAACATTTCTTAATAATTAAAATAATTAAAGAAATATTTTGATAAGATTTCACTTGGAACACAAGGGCAAGGAAACCATTTTCAATTATATGAGCCCGTATTTTATTTTCAGTAGGATATCTGTTTTACTCAGTGAAGCTGAAGGAATGGATTAGCCATTGATGAGTTATTCAATATTTGATTTTTCTCCTTTTTGGTAATGTATTGTCATAGTAGCTTCTTCATTATGGTTAGTCATTAAGACAATCAAGAAAACCTCATGAAAATATCATAAGATTTTTCTGCATTTGATCATTTCATGATGGTCATCATTGCATGCTTGTTAAAGCATTACACATATCTAAAAACATATGTTTAAACACATGTTTAAAATATAGATTCGCCAGGCTTTATTTGCCACCTTGAGCAATAAATTCTGGTGTAAATCAAATCCCATGATTTGAAACTGAGTGCTCAGAAAATATGGAGCATACAAGACATCTGACCACTAGAGTCATTCAGGAGTTCTTGAGATATGCTATTACTCTGAGGTATTTTCTACCAATTTGTAACATTTTTTTGTAACATATTTTTGTAACAATTAGAATGTAATTGCCATTCTTAGGATTAAGATAACTGATTTTGAGATTCTACATTGAAAAATAATATTTCTTCTGGTATGAGCAATTGTCTCAAATTCATTTATTTGGTCTTCATCACTCTTGCATACAACAGTGTTTTAACCTCTGATGGTCAAAACACTTCCTTCTGCATCAAGATGATGAAGTAATGGTACAGTTTATGGCCTGTTTCAAGG